TTCCCTGTGTCCCCAGCTGAGATTTCCCAGTACACCATCGTGTGGGGACCCTGCTGGGACCCAGCCTGGACCCTGATCGGCCAGTGCGTGGATCTCCTCACCAAGCCCTCGGAGGACCCCAGTGCCCCCTTGCCCTGGTGGGACAAGAGCCGCCTCCTCTTCCACGGAGACTGGCATATGGACATCGAACAGGCCAACCTGCATCAGCTGGCCACCGAGGTGGGTGCCACCGGGGTGGGGGGCTGGCTCACGCCTTCCTCTCCTCACGCTTGTCCTTGCAGGACCCCTACAACACCACGGAGAACATGCACTGGGAGTGGAGCCACCTCTCCTTCCACTGGAAGCCCGGGCAGTTCGTCTTCAAGGGCAACCTGGACATCAACGTCCGGACAGCCTCCAAGTGAGTGTGGATCCAGGAGTGCCGGGGCTGCCAGCGGTGCCGGAGGGTGACCAGAGTCTCCTTCCCTGTCCAGGTATGACGACTGCTGCTTCCTGCACCTGCCCGACCTATGCATGACACTAGACCTGCAGTGGTTGTGCCACGGGAACCCCCACGACCACCACGGCGTGGTGCTGCGCTCCCCCGAATTCCTGCCCGAGGTGCCGGTGGGGCAGCAGTACGATTCCTACCGTGCCTTCCGTTCTGAGAACCTCAACCTCTCCATCCGGATGGACCTGACGCGGCCCAGCGAGGGTGGGTGACAGTACCCAGCGTTCCCTCGGGGCTGAGAGGGACTGGGACAGGGCAGGTTTGGGTGATCCTTATCAGTCCTGGGTTGGGTGCCGTCATGTCCCTGCCCTGCGGCGCTGGCTGACAGCGGGTGTGTTCTCAGAGCACTCCCAGCCCCGGATCCTGCTCTACAGCAGCACCCTCCGCTGGATGCAGAACTTCTGGGCCACGTGGACCAGCGTGACGCGCCCCATCTGCCGTGGCAAGCTCTTCAACAACATGAAACCCAGCAAGAAGAAGCTGGGGCAGCATTACAAGCAGCTGTCTTACACTGCGCTCTTCCCCCGGCTGCAGGCAAGTCCTGGAGCAGCGTTATCTGGGGGGTGCAGCGTTATCTCTCACCCCATTTTGGTCGCGCTGGGTTCTCAGTCCCTGCTGTCTGCCCCCTCGCAGGTGCATTACTGGGCCTCCTTCGCCCAGCAGCGAGGGATCCAGGTGGAGTGCTGCCAGGGACACATCTTCACTCGTGGTACCCAGCGGCTTATCCCGCAAGGTGAGCGTGGACACTGCCGGCAGCATTTCCAGGCAGGGCAGGAACCCGTTTGACCCCCTCCTTCCCTTTTTCTCAGCCGGGACGGTGATGCGACGCCTCATTTCGGAGTGGAGCATCACGCAGATGGTGAGCGACCTGAGCCAGGTCACCGTGCACCTCATGGCCTCCACTTGTGACGAGAACGCCGAGCACCGGCTCGACACCCTGGTGAAGAAAACCCATCTGCTGAGCCTGTCCTCCCTCACCTACCAGCGGCACAGCAACCGCACGGCCGAGGAGGTACTGCTGCAGGCGCGTGGGCCACGGCAGGGGTAACCCCCTGGGTTGAGGGGACCTTTGGGTGCAGCAGTGGAGGGATTTGGCTGGAGAGGGGACAGACCTGCGGGCCTTCTGATCTCCTGGCCAACGGGGTGCCTTGTTCCAGGCGCAGCGTCCTTGGTGTGGGTCCGTGCTGCGGGTTCTGGGGTGGCTCCCTGAGCTCTGGCCCCCCACGCCGTGCCAGCGGGGACTGGCAGGGCTCCCAACCCAGCTTTGCCGTGCTGAAGCTCTCACCCTCTGTACCCAGGAGCTGCCGCTGCGGGATGGGGAT